ATTGCAGGTAGGCCACACCCCTGGGGAAACTCCCCCTAGGCCGACCGGCCGCTTAGAACGCAGTCATGTGATCCATCATGGGAACCACCACTCACAACTGGAGTCCAGCCAAGTTGACACATCTTCAACTATCACAACCATTTTTATTTTATTATTTTGCTCAAAATCAAATTAGGTTTATTGACCCAGCTTGGTTTGGGGTATGAGGGTCATATGGGAAGTAGCCAGTTATGTTGGAAAAGCCTCTACTTGACAGTTAGAGGTATCCTGTGATGCTGCCTAATGGCATCATTTCCTTAGTCCCCCCCGTGCTAACTCACAGACACATAGCAATGTCCCACAAAGGGCTTAGGACAAGACTTACAATCAGGAACTCCAAGTATTTTACTTCTAGTTTGCCTTTCCTACTTTTTCTTGCATAAGTTGTCACCCTGACCTGCCAAACAAAGTTAGAAGATGGAGACTCACTTATATGTAAGATGTGGAGTGGCTGAGAGTAGTATAGTATACAGGTTAGCATGAATTTAAGCCTAATCCCAGCCCTGCCACTTGATAGATGTGTGAGCTTGACAAGTCGCTTAAATTCAACCTATTTCTTCACTTATAAAACATGAATGGCAATACTTTTTCATGGAGTTGATAGGAGGATTAAATATGTATGTGTGTATATAAATATACATATAAAAACATGAGCCTACCTGGCAGTAGCTAAGTGCTAAAGAGCCCCAGTAGAGCAGTATTTAAGCTCTTGGCTGCTAACCTAAATGTTGGAGTTTTGAACCTGCCCAAAGTATCTATTCCTATAAAGATTAGCCCAAAGAAACAACAACAACAACAACAAAAACACTGCCTTTGAGTTGATTCTGACTCACAGTGACCCTATGAGACAGAGTGGAAGTGTCCCATAGGGTTTCCAAGTGTGTAATCTTTATGGAAGCAGACTGCCACATCTTTCTCTCATGGAACGTCTGGTGGGTTCAAACCACCAACCTTTTGGTTGACAGACAGTCTAGTGCTTTAACCACTCTGTCACCAAGGCTCCTTCCATAAAGATTATAGCCTAGGAAACCCGATGGGGCAATTCTGCTCTGTCACAGGGATCACTAATGAGTTGGAGTGGACTGGACAGCACCTAACAATAGCAACAGCTTAGTGTAAAGAGTGAAAATGCATGGCTGCTAACCAAAAGGTTAGAGGTTTGAGCCTACCCAGAGATTCCTTGAAAGAAAGGCCTGACAATGTACTTCCAGAAATTCATCTACTGAAAACCCTATGGAGCACAGTTCAACTCTGACACACATGGGGTCACCATGAATTGGAGTTGACCCCGCAGCAACTGACTAGCTAATTTGTCCTTTATGTCTTGTAGGTAAGATCTATCTGTGGGAATTTAAGTGGAGCATAATTGAGGCTCCTAGAACCCATTCCATTCTTTCTTTAACTGGCCCATTGATCCTTCCAATACTAACACTTGCCTCATCCCTTGCCCTTTTGTTGAGAGCTAGTGTATGGTGATGTGCCCTACCTGTTGATAGTGTTATATGATTTTCTTTTTTTTTTCCATAGCATCTTTCTCTGTGGAAACTAGGTATTTTAACAAAGGAGTTTGTAATACATGAACTGTGGTCCATAATTCACTTGGCTTCCATTTCTGTAAGGATCCTAAAGTATTTCCTAGACATCCTGGCAGAAATTGCACATATCTTGCTTCTGGGAGTTGGGAACCATTTTTTGCAACTTTTATTTTAATGTGCACTGGACCACACTTAAACTGCAAGACTGTTTTTATTTGCTTAAACCTCTAAACATATTTTTATTTTGGCAAGAGGAGTGGGTTTTCCCATGTGGACTCTAAAGTTCCAGGGATCTACCCTTCCCTCCCCCATCCCCCAAAACAAACAAAAACCTTAACACAATAGCTATTGTGGTTCTTGAGTGTTGAATATAAATACCTTTTGGTGTGTGTTTCTATTTTAGACATGGAGAGTGGTGGAAAGCGAAATCCCTTTCAACAAAGAGAGAAGGCTTCATACCGAGCAATTATGTAGCCAAAGTCAACACCTTAGAGACAGAAGAGTGAGTTTCCATTGTTGTCCTCTCCTACAGCTAGTTTATTCTTCCTCTTTTCTTCTTGGAACATAAGACCTATGAAATGTTGAAAATGTCTTTGCAGGTGGTTTTTCAAGGATATAACCAGGAAAGATGCTGAAAGACAGCTTCTGGCTCCAGGAAATAGTGCCGGAGCCTTTCTCATCAGAGAGAGTGAGACATTGAAAGGTAGGAAATGGCTCAGGGCCTCTTATAAAACAATATTTAGGAAATGATTTTCAGAAACTATTCTAGAATTACTCAAATAAAGAATGTATTATGTTCTGGTAGTGAAAGTTTTATAGTCTGACAACAAATAATCAACTCATATTACTAGTTTTACAACTAAAAAGAATGTAGAAAACAGGTGTAAATATGGCCATTTCTTATGATGCTTTATATTTGCTGAGCTTCTTGCATTATTATGTAGAGTAAATCCCCAAATTTTAAGAGAACAAAACTTCTGATTCTGCTAAATAATAAAAACATAAAGTGAAGAAAGAAAATGGCAAACAAAGTGCTAGCTTTGTTTGTCAACTAGAATTTTTATAAGACTTTAAAATTTGTATATTATATACATTCTTTTATATATATATATATTTCTTATATATAAAATATATATAGCAAGATGTCTACCACAGTGCTGTATAATGCAGAGTTCACTTGTGAAACATAGATGTAACCTTTACTTATACTTTTTTTCTCATAGGAAGCTTCTCTCTGTCCGTCAGGGATTCTGACCCAGTGCAGGGTGATGTTATTAAGCACTACAAAATTAGAAGTCTGGACAATGGGGGTTATTACATCTCTCCACGAATCACTTTCCCTTGTATCAGTGACATGATTAAGTATTATCAGAGTAAGTAAAAACTGCAGGTTGGACAAAATAAAATACGTTTATTATGTTAAATGCATGACAACCACAACAATGAGCTCAGGCATGCCAGTGGTCATGGGGATGGTGCAAGACTGGGCAACTTTTGTTCTTATTGTGCATAATATCACCCTGAGTCAAAGCTCACTTGGATGACAACTAACAACATCAACAACAATGTTTAACACTATGTTCATATTAAAATATTTTATACATCTTATTTCTTTTGGGCAAAAACTGTGATTTTCCCTTAAATATAGATTGAATGTAAGATTTGACCTTTGAGAATAATTATCCCAGTCTTTCCCATAAAGTCGATGCTGTTTGAGAATTAACAGTCAGATATTACCCCACATATTATGTATTTTTGCAATGCATCTTCAATATCTGGAATAGGAATGGAGACTTGCAGTAAGCATTGTAGGTTCATAGACTGTGACAGTTACTTATAAAAGTAACTACCCATTTTTTTCTTTATGTACACTGGTGTAATGTAAAACATTACTTTTTGTTTGTTTTAAGTTACATTTTAAAACTTTATTTTTCCTTTCATATTAGAGCAGTCTGATGGCTTGTGCAGAAGATTGGAGAAGGCGTGCATTAGTCCCAAACCACAGAAACCATGGGATAAAGATGCCTGGGAGATTCCACGGGAGTCAATTAAGTTGATGAAGAGATTGGGTGCTGGCCAGTTTGGAGAGGTCTGGATGGGTGAGTGTGGGGATCTGAGTGTCTCTACTCTGGAGGTGACAATAGGAGACTAAGGGGCTCATGCCAGTTTCTGTCCATTTTCTTTCTCTAAACTAAACTGGTCAGAATCATCACTTCTTTTGCTTCCTTCTGTCTGAGAGCTGGACTGCAGAGAGGTTTCATAAACCTATATGCTTAGACTTTTCCCCTCCCTTGTGACTTAGAGTTAATGCTTATACAGTAGAGAGCAGTAGGTATTTATCTGATTGTCCTGTCTACTCTCATGGTTCTCTCATGTCCCTGTTCTCTGAAGCACATATAAACTGCAGGAAATTTACTTTCATCCCAGGAAAAGGTGCCTTTAGGTTTAGGATCCTCCTTACCAGTGGTTTAATAGGAAACCTCACATTTATTGCAGTTTGAGGGTTACCAGGAGAGTTCTTCAAGGTACTCAAGATTCCTCCATTAATAGATCACCCCTCCTAGTGTAAACATTGCCTTCTCCTGTGGACAAGATGTATACCCAAAATTGTAGCACTGGTTTTCTCTGGGGGACTCTGTGTTCACTTGTCTTTTCTAACATTTTTATAGTGAATGTGAATTTCTTCTGTGACAGGAATCAAGAAACAACTTTATTTTAAAGTATCATATTTATTCATGGTTCTGGTTAAAATTGCAAATATTTCTGGAAGGGTAGCATGTTAGGTCACACACATCTTACTGGGACACTTCTTTTGTGCCAGCTTTGTTGAGTGAAAGCAGACAGGATTTCTAAAGCAAGATGGGTCAGACAGCTAAAGAAAACATCTGGCCTCAGCTGACTAGACACTAAAGACTCTCCCAGTATGTTTCAGCCAAATTGAAATTTCACTTCCCCATCCAGGGATCTGTGAGAGAAAGATGTTTTCCTCCACAGTCTTGATGCCTAGGGTCACAGCCTTGTCCACTTTCTCTTGTTGGCACCACTTTGGCCCATGTGTCTTTAAACATAGTGGATACTGACACAGCATATAATGGATTCTGGCAGCACTGCAAATAATGTACAGAATTCAGGTCATTTGTAAAGAATTTCATCTTGTATTCTTCATTTTGGTTGATGTCTTTCAGAACCAATCAGCAGTACTCTTCAGGTACACTGTTTCTTTGCAACCACCGATTTACATTCTGTCTCTATGGATTTACTTATTGTGGTTATTTCATATAAATGGAGTTGCGCAATATCTGTCCTTTTGTGTCTGTATTTGTTCACTTGACATAATGTTTTCAAGGTTCATCCATGTTGTACAATGTATCAGAACTTCATTTCTCTTTATGATTGAATAATATTCCGTTGTATGGAGCTGTGTGAACATAAAGCATTTTGTTTATCAACTTATTTGTTGACAGATACTTTGGTTGTTTTCCACCTTCCGACTATTGTGAAGAATGCTGCAAGGAATATTGGTGTACAAGTATCTGAGTCCTTGCTTTCAATTCTTTGGTGTATATCCCCAGGAATAGAATTACTGGGTCACATGCTATGTTTAACTTTTCAAGGAACCATCAAATTATTACCTGCTTTTTTCCCTTTCTTTTACTGTGGTAAAATATGCATAACCTAAATCTGACCATTTTAACCATTTTTGATTGTGTGATTGAGTGGTATTAGGTGCATTCACAATTTTACATAACAAAAAAACTCACTGCCATCAAGTTGATTCTGACTCATAGCAACCCCCACTGGGTTTCTGAGGCTATAAATCTTTACAGAAGTAGATTGTCCCATCTTCCTTCTTTGGAGTGGCTGGTGGGTTTGAACCTCTGGCCTTCTCATTACCAGCCAAAATGCCTTATCCACTATGCTACTACCCATCACCACCTATCCACTGCCGTGGAGTCAGATACGACTCACTGTGACCCCTCCTTAGGTTTCTGACTATGCCACTAGAGCTCCTTTGTATAATCATTACTGCTATCTATTTCTAGATCATTTTAATCATCTTACACAGAATCTCTATATCTGTTGAACAATAGCTCCCATTGTTCCCTCTCCCTAGCTTTGGTAATCACTATTCTACTTTCTGACTCTATGAGTTTATCTACTCTAGATACTTCCTGGGGCCCTGGTGGCACAGAGGTTAAACATGCATTGCTAACTGAGAGGTCAACAGTTTGAACCCACTAGCCACTCCATGGGAGAAAGATGTGGCAGTCTGCTCCTGTAAAGAA